CTAGCATATTTGCCCTCTAAGCTTCGCTTCTCGGGCAAATATTTGTTTTAAGAGAATCAAATTTCCGCGAGGCAACTATCAGCCGGTAGTTCCTCGACTGAAACACTCTATTGTTTAATTGGCAGTTGGCAGTTTGATCAAATCGTGTCAAAGACCTTATCTCACCCTGTTACACGCATCTTTTTAGTCATAATGTTCTCTACTTTTTAATTAATGAAAACGGACGCTGATTTCATATTTTGCGTCGTTACAAAATCAGCCGAGTAGACACAGGGTGCCACTTCAGAGGCACTTTGGCGAGAATTGAGTGATTAGAAGGAAAAGTAATATTTTTGAGATTCATAGTAGGTGAAAGGACATGGGTGAGGGACCCAGATGAAGTTCACTTAGAGCAAAATCTTGCGACTGGTTACTTGCGATCATAGAAGAGGTCAATTGTGATCATAGAGTACGCTTAGTTTCAAAAAGGAATCAAAACCGAAAGCGCGTTGATTAAAATAAGACGAAAACCGTGCAATTGAAAAGTTAATCCCAAAATACAAAACAAGAATTAACCGCTTTCTTCTTGGAAGTTCGTTCGGTTTTTGGATAAATCTTCCTTCTTCGGCAAGGCGACAAAATTCTGATCAATACTGAGGCAATATACAGCTTGAGACACTGCAATGCGGCTCCTGACGTTTTGATGAAATGGATACCTGCAAGAGGAAAATTCACTCAATCTAAAATAACAGAAAAAAAAATAGCTTCGCTTTTAGTGGTCTCACGTGAATAACTTTGTGACGTGCAGTAGCGTCTGTAGATTTTGGACAGTTTGGTTCACTGGATTAACAAACGTGGTGGTATGTAAAAAGTATCTGACCCCGTAGGACTTTGAGCTTGCACAATGATAAATTCGACTCTTCATGCGCTCAGATGAGGGTAATTACTAACCAAAGATGATCAAGTTGAATCAGCTGTCACTCAAATGCTATCATGTTTTACTAACAGAATTCCTTTTCCCTTTCTCTTAACCAAAGTGTTTAATTGCTATAAACATCATCAATTTCATACCAAACCACCGTTAGCTTACATAGACACATCTGTTTAACTTAACAACTGGCTTAAAATAAGGTAATCAAAGATAAAAGATAATCTGGTAAAATAAGTCGAAATTGAGATACCTTTACTTTTAAACTCTAGTATCTTTTTTAATGGCCAGTATGCTTCACGTGATTTCCCTAAAATAGAGTCAATTTTAACCAGGGTGTAGTACTGGATAGTAATTTAATCTATTTTGTACAGGTTCACGAAGGGGCGTTGGGTCTTTCTACCTTTAACCGAAGTATTCCTGTTTCTATCAATAACATAGTTACAAATTTGGTCTTTGATTATTGAAGTTATATATATACCAGCAGATAGGTTTCCGTCTTGCTTTAAAATGATTATAATGAACAAGAGAGTTCGGCTACTAGACAGTCCATGTTGGCTTGTCTAACTGTTTCACAGTAATTTAATTTTCAGCTCGCAATTTGTGATATAGACCAAACTGAACTTTCGAAATCCTCAACGCACTGAAGGTACTCAATTAAACGAGGAAATAAAAAATGGCTCACGCATGAAGTTATGAAAAGATCATATTGAACTACCATGCAATGGTTCAAGACACCCTCCGTTTCATTTCTAAATGAGAGCCATTGGCATGTTAATTATAAAAATGGCCTATTTATTTTGGGATTAAAATATATTGATCTCCTCAGAATTGTAGTCAAAAATCTGTTTTAAGATTTTTTTTTTCTCTACAATAGTTTTGTTCGAAAAAAACTACTACTTATCCTGCTATGAAGCTTAGGCCGCTCCATTAAACACACCAGTGTCACAAAGTACTTGGGGCTTAGAAGTAGGTCCATTAATCAGACAAAAAGGTCGGTAAAATAAAAGGTGACTTTAAATCTTTAATTAGCTCCTAACATATTTATGCTAATTTAGTGTTACACCTTGCCACAAACTTTGTAATTTTTTATTTCTCCTTGACAATGGCGTCATGATGACACCGAAACGTCGGTTTTAATCGTTGGTTTTTGCCAGTCTTTGCATTTCCAAATCTTTATATTGATAAGGACTTTAAAATAGAGACAGATAATAGGCAAAACAAAAAACTCAAGTATACAAATAAATTTCAAGCTTTAATGAAGCATTTATTTAAAATATGTTGTATTCTACAGAAACGAGACCTAAAATCTTGTTTTTGATTTTATTCTCCACTGGAATTTGTTTAGTAGCACTATGTATATAATCCGACGTGGTACAGAAGTTCCACTTTTGAGCTCATTAAAGTCTCTGACAGAGAACTTTTTTATCACGTATACCTGGGAAATAAAGAGCAGAGTGTCGGAAGTAATTTTCATACGGATCGAACCACAAAAGGAAGCATTAAAATGATAACAGAAAACAGGCAAAACAGAACGCTCAAGAACATGAAGAAACTTTGAGCTTCAATAAAACTATTATTTTACATGGAAAATTAATTGATTTTCAAACATCTTTGCTACTTGACAAACGATTTTGATCGATTTACATTGGTAATCAGAAGCATTGGGAAACCAAATTTTGATTTGATGTCTCGGCGTCGATTGAAATAACCGTGACGCTCTGGAATTAAAATGTAAATCCCAAAAGTTTAGAAAAAGGAGGCAGTGTGGCCGAGTGGTTAGAGTGTCGGACTCGTAATCCGCCGCTCCCCGGTTCGAGTCCCACCCTGACCACTGGATTTGTTTCACGGTAGCCCCGAGTTCAGATCCTTGGCCACCCTTGTAAATAGCCAACTGGTTTGCCTCCTGCCAGTTGAGGTTCTTAATGATGTTATGTTCAAATTAGACCATTTGTTTGATTTGTTTGCAAGGACCAGAATGGAAACTACTGATTCACCAGTAATTGTGCAATCCTATAAAAAGACTTTTTTTTTTTTTTTCTTTTATAAAAAAAGGTTCTGGCGACCTCCTTCTTGAAAACTTGATAATTTGTTGAATAAATCTTTTTTCTCCCGAGAGAAAACAAAGTACTGATCAATACTCGAGCAATAGAATTTAAAAATATGCAGAACACGCCCTGAATTATTGATGTGACAAATAAATGTCTGGCAGAGTAAAAAATCCCTCAATCGGAAATTCACTTACTGTAGTCTCACGCGAGTAACGTTAACTTTGTGACGCTTCTTTTAGAACAGTGTAGGTAGACTAAATCAGGTTCGGTTCATTGGGTCCATGTATTTTTGAGATTTTAAAGTAACACATTTGTCATAATATGCTGAAGTCAAGGTTGAAACTGAAGAGTGATGACTTGGTTAAATCAGCTTCATTATTTGCTCTGAAATTCCTGTCCTGTTTCTATTGCCCAGTGTACTTCATTACTTACTGTATGAGACTTGTTATTTTTTTCAGACCTGCTATTTTTTCCTATAAGGTACCACTCAAGATTGGGTTTTAGCTGAATGCCAGCTGGACCTACCAAAATGACACAAAATTCAGGTTTCAGAAAATTCTTTCTTTATTTTTTTCATGTTTTCATCGTCCGAAAAAGTTCAGCTTTATTGCAACATCTCGAAAGAAAGTTTGTTTCTCGAATGAATTTAGAACCAAACTAAATGTTCTAATCGTGGACCGAAAGTGATACTCGGGGGCATTGGAAAGCCAAGCTTGAAAAAACCGCAGCTGCAGGTTAAGATTTCAGGATGGATGGCTGTCCGACTAAGATCCATAGATGGATATAATTAATTTTAACTTACTATATATCCTATAGCTTTCCTTGTCTAACTTTTAACTTCCGTCTCATAAATATCTAATATACAACACACGAGGTGAATCACATTAGGGACTCACGTATCCGGTTATTTTTAATAGCTAGAATTTGACGTTCCAGAGAAAACTCAGAAAACTTTAGTATTGGGTTATGCATCGCAACAAACTCAATTTTTTTAACAGCTGATCAGTCCCAGGGTCGTTAATTATTAATAGTTTTGACAACATCACTCGATGAAAACATTAATAAGTTGCTTTTTTACATTATGACCAACAACAGATTTAAAAAGCGAGGACCGTATCAGTATATTGGCTGTTGTAATGTTTTATGTGCATCCGATATATGAAATATAGCATGAACCGAGCTTCCAAAGTCTCAAACGCACTGAAAAATGAGTCGATATAAACCGTAACAAAAGAGCTATATTGATCCATGAAGTTGGGATAAGATATTATGTAGAACTTTTAAATGATCATGATTCATAATAGACAAATTATTCCCTTCCTTTAAAGAAAAAAACAAACAAACAAAATAAACAAAAATAATGAATGTCTAGGGGGGTTTTGACTTGGCTTTTGTGTTCATTTTGGGCTTGAAGTTTGAACTACACGTCAATAAGACAGCTTCCATTATTTTCAAAACCTTGGACCTAATTCATTGGTATAGGCATTTTTTTACAAGCCAGGGAGCTTCGAAATGGGTCCTTCTTCTCGACTGATTATGTCGACAGGTACTTGTTTTAAACAGCTTAAAGAGGCAAAATGTGGTTTTGACGTATCTAGGCTGTTTAGTTGAATAGACGCGTTCATTGCAGCAGTTGACAGAAGCTGCAAAAGGAAGCTGCGTTAAAACACTCACAAACAAAGACTTACTGACCATTTACCAAGCACACAAGAGACTTCAAGCCCCTTTGATCATATCAATAAACATCTTATAGCTCTTTGTTTTCCAGTGACGAATTATAATCTTTATGTATATGAGAACGATCCTTCGCAGTAAAGCACTATTTGAGCAATATATGTCTCATAACCGCAGTTCACACATATGTTTCATATGTTTGTTGTTATAATCTTTATGATAACGAGAATGATGCGTGGGTGGCTTTTCCAACCATAGCCACTTATTGTAGTCTCACGCGAGTAACTTTGTGACGCCTTTTCTCAGAACAGCGTCGGTAGATTGAAGCGGGTTCGGTTCATTGGGTCCATAAACAAAAAAAGTGACTGATGCTGTACATCTTTGAGATCTTATAATTATAACACATTTGACGTAATATGCTCCAGTTAAGATTAAAACTGAAGGATGATTACTTGGTTAAATAGCCTCAACATTTGCACTGACATTCCTGTCCTGTTTCTATTGCCCAGCATCTGGTATGTCTAGTTGAATAGACGCGTTCATTGGTGCAGTTGACAGGTGCTGTAAAAAGGACGCCGAGTTAAAGGGCTAAAAAACAAAGACTAACTGACAAACACTCAAGCACACACTAGACTTCAAGCCTCCCTGATCAGATTAATAACCCTCTTATAGCTTGGCGCATATCTTTAGATCATCAGAATACCAAAATACCACAAAATTCAGGTTTCAGAACATATTTTTTAATCTTTTAGGTAATCCGCTGTCAAAGCTGCAACTGGGCAATGCTGTTGAAGGAATGTGACAATGAAATGAACATAAACTTCCACTTAGAGAAAGATGACACAATAAACAAGGTTACTGCTCTCCCAAAAATAATCAGCGCATTCCTATCCGAAGATATTTACAGCTATAAAAAAGACACCGATATCCTGATTGAAAAATGCTGCTGATCAAAAATGTAGGCTTCCAACTTTTGCCTAACCAAAGGCTTGTAACTAACATGAGACAGCACCCTCAGGAGGAAGTAACAGATGAACAGCTACTGAAATCCATACCCAATATAAGCATCCAGGAGCAATCACAGGAATCTGAGCAAATACAAGTAAATAATCAAAGTGCACCGTGACAAAAGGACGAAAAAACTATCAAGAAACAAAAGACAAACCACTAAAATCCAACAAAGTCAACTAAAAAAAAAAAAAAATCAACAAGCAGTGGAACATTTAAAGGACAAACAAAATTTAATCGTTTCCGTATTACAATTCCCATTGATAGTGTTTAAGCAGTAAAATTGAAATGTTCACTTCTGTTGTATTTAAAACAACCGCAAAATAAGATCAATTGCATTTGAAGGACAAGCAAACTTTGATGTTTCCTGTTACAGTTCCCATTGATAGACTGTCACCAATAGAATTGAAATGTTCACTGCTGCTGTGTTTAAAACAACTAGAAAAGAAGGCCATCACATTTAAAGCACAAGCAAACAGTGATCTTTCCTGTTACAGTTCGATTCTTTGAATACTAACATTGATGTTAACATAAATTATACATGATTATACAGTGCATGTAACGTGAAAAAAGAGGATCAAGCACGTTCAAGGTACAAACAAACTTTATTTTGTCCTGTTTCCATTGATACTTTAAAGTACGATAGTATGTACATTCTGGCATTCAGTTCTGCAGTATAGTTAAGTTTACGAAGAAATGTACCCTTACAGTTATTGTTAATAAACTGTTACTTGCTAGTACAGTATTTCTTGAATAAACTACTCTTCTCCTGGAGTGGTTTCAAAACTCCCACTCGACAAAGTATATTAATCAATGAACAACAGTCAAAATACAACAAATGCAACAAACGAATGTAATCTTACAACAGAAAAATGCATTACACTACATTTGCAACCACTTTATAGGCTTTATAATCCCTTATATCAGCTCCATGACACAGTATCTTACTTACTCCACGAGCTTACCACAGGATGCCTTTGATTGGTCCATGTAGTGTCACGACCTGCGACGGAAAGAACAGAAAAGATCATAACTACGGATCTACTTTACATAGTTCGTTGATTTAACAAAGTAAAGAAGGTTGTAAGTCCGCTCCATGTACCTTGTTTTTTTCTCGCGTGGCATGGGATAAAATCGGGCAATCCCGAGCGGGCAATATGTGCTCATCTTACCCGCTCGGGTAGCCCATCAGAACACAGGATTCGCTTCATCTTGCGCTCGGGCGCTGTCAGCCATATAATAACCAGCCATCTTGACCACACACTTGGTCAATAACACACGTTTATCTTCGCAACAATTGTGTAAGCCTGCCCTTGCGTTTCTTTTCGGGTTTTTAATTCTTACAGATAATATCTCAGTTACGATATTTATATGGCGAGGGTGAAATGTTTGAGCCCGGCCCATGAAATCTTTGAGCCTATGAAATATCATTAAGATGGAAGTTCTGGAGGTTTATTTCGTAGAAAGATGTTCTCGCTGTAGTGTCATATCTCTGAGTATGTATTCATCATGGGAATGGATCGGCGTGACTGCATGAATGCATGACTGTATGTTAATTATAACTATGAAGATAATGTGTAAAATGTATTTAAGTTATGAGTGAATATTTATTAAAGAGTTGTAAGTTATAACCGTGTAAGCGTAATTATGTCAGACTTTACACTCGCTACAGCTAAATAATCAGCGATGATCTTCGTCTAATCTTCCAGAAAAAGCAAAAATCAACAAACAATCACATGCTGACATCATTTATTCCCTTTGGAAAAGCTCTTGCATTTAATCAATGCTTCAACGAACGCAGCAAAACAAAAGAATAAAGCCATTTCTTGTTCTAGCAAATGCGTCACCCTTTGAAGTGAAGTGATACGATCATTCGGAAGAGGGACTGACTCCATGCACTTATAACTGTCAAGCAGTTCGGAAATAGAGCCATGAATACTGAGCTGACATTCCGCCTAGCTCAAACCAGCGATTTTGACGAGATCCTAAAACTCTCAGAGGGTGTCTATGATGGTCAAGACTATCTTCCCCTCCGATTTCATAAATGGATGCAAATGGTCAATGTTGCAGTGATGTTGGCTCACTCAAGTGGAAGGCTCATTGGTCTGGTTCAGTGTTCGGTTGTTGGAAGAACAGCGGTGCGACAAGCCGCCAGGGTACTACCAGAGTTTCGTGGTCGGGGTGTTTACAAACGGCTATCAAAAGCAATGAACGAGTTCGTGCGAAGACATTACCCAGCTGTACAGCGAGAGATGTTTACATCAAATATGTGCCACTTCCCCGCAAGAGAAATTACAGAGATGAGAAGTATAAGGACTTCAGCTGTAAATAAGAGTCTTTTTGCGCTCGAGTCTCTCAAAGTTAATTTCTCAGACCAGGTAGAGCCTTGTATGAAAGAGTACCTTTGTGAAGTAATCTTCACAAGTCCTTTTGCGCGGAATTTGTTTCCATACAACTCCATTATACTTGATTGGATTCCCATGGAGCCCTTACAATCAAACATCGATCATTTTCACCATGAACTTGGTCACGATTTCTATACCGTTGTCGATAAATGTGGCGAAGATGCTATTCCCAGATCTGTCAGTTTTGGTGTTCTGTCACCAAGGGTAGGATGCACTGATTGGAGTGTCACGATTTATACGAGTGACCCAAGCCTGTACGAAGCTCACGTTGTACATCAATTACAGCATGCGTTCCAGGTTGCTGATGGAGACATTTTTGTTTGTTTTATTCAAGACAAAAGTTTCTCAAAACAAGGGAGAAGACTTCTCAGGGAATGTTTGCCCCAAGTGGAATTTGACGAAGAATGGTCAACTCTCTTCGTCTGTGAAAATGAGATTCAATCCCAAGAAGCATAAACGGTAAGAAGCAGCATCTTTTATACGAAAGTTTTACAACCATTGAACGCTTTGATTGAAATTTTATGCATTGTACATGGTCTAGCATGAACATTTACCTCAAGTGGAATTTGACGAAGCATGGTCAACTTTCCTTCCTCTGTGAAAATTCAATCCCAAGAGGAGCGACTAATTATAACAAGTGAACATCGTACTGGACTTGTTCAGTCTTCGGAAGTTGACAATGGGAGAACATCAGTGCAACAAGACGCCAAGACATCACCGAAGTTGATTTCTCATGGTGTTTGTTAGACTGTTGGGGTTAACTAACTTGAGAAACTCGCACAAACGGATGCACCAGGAGTCTGATCAATAACTTTTATCCGTTAATTAATCAAAGCTCACATCGACAAATAATAGCAAAATCATTATTCAAATGTGCTTCGTAGAGTACAAATAACGTGCGAAACAAATAAAAATATCACACGATATTTTTACTTCAGAAATATCCGCGAAAGTTGCTCGCACTGACACAACTATTTGGCGTGTTGGATAATAAATTTATATTCTATTTCGCTATCCCGCTCAAACGAATATAAAACATTCATCATTCAATAAGAAACAGCAATTGAGGTGTGTCACCACGAGCCGTATGCGACCCTCTTTATTATGCTTTCATCAACAAAAGTGATAGGAATAGTACAGCAAGGGAATGAAAACTCGGAAATGTAAAAAATAAATCAAGAAAAACTACCCAACAAAACAATGTAAACCTTTTTCGTACATGCAAAAATCTACGGCAAGAGTACCATATAACCCCATACATTAATTATGTATTCAGTCTTTGTTCAGTTAAAACAATAGCGATAACAACAGAACTCCGCAGCGACTAGTAGTCTTCGTTTTCAAAATTTGGATTTTTTTGCTAAGTCTTTTTTGAAACAGGGTAAATTTGGCGCGTTTTGGCTTTGCAAAACGGAAAACTCAAGTAATTTTCCAGAGGTTTTTAATTTTGAAATGTAACTGAATGTTCAGTTTCGCTTTGAAAGCGTAAATTTGGCCGGAAAATAACGTTAAGTCTACGGTCAGGCTTTGAAGTTTGTCAATGCAAAGTTTAAATAAATGTTGTGGCTTTGGA